GGGGCTTCTGTAGACACCCATTTGTGTCTCCCCAAAACCAAACCCGTTGATGAGTACCTTTCACGTTGAATCATAATCGAATGAAGTGAAAGTGTGGAAAGTCTAGTGTTGCGGATCGTTTTAATTTTTTTTCTCTCCTCTCTGATTTTTATAAAATATTTTAAGAAAACAGCCAATCCAATTTGGTTTGTTCATGATATGAGTCCATTAATAGTGTAGTTGGATGGGGCTTGAAGAGAGCTTTCCAACGATATATTGTAAGCCCAGTTCCGATGAATATTGAGAAAGTTATGGCCAATTTACTAAACTGGGCCCGGTTTGGGCCTTATATGCGGCCCAATGATCTAGAGGAGGGCCTAATATGGCTTTATCATTCCTAATGCAATTAGGAATGGTTTTAGTCTGCTAGATTCTTCTAGAAGGTTCTTTTCATTCCTAATTCAATTAGCATTGATAAATTGACGTTTGTTGACTTTTTTGGAATTTTAATTATAATAAAAGAATGTTTTTGAGGAAAATACGATTTGATCCTCCTGTACGGTTAAATTTTATCTGATTTTAGAAAACGCGTCAAAAAACTATTTAGCGCCTAACGCCAGCATTAGCGCCCGACGCTAAGCTTGGCGCCTAGCGCTAATGTCAGCGTCTGGCGCTAACTCTGTTTTTTCGCGTCAGAACTCTGGTTTGATTTTCTATCTTTTTGGCTTATTTTCTCTATAAATAGCCTCCTAAAAACACCGTTTTGGATCATCTACAAGACCCAATTCTCATCTACAATCATCAACTCTCCAGTTTTCTAACTCTTTTATCTTTAAGCTAAAGCTTTTCTTTCTCTCTCTTTTCTAAACCTACCCCCTCTTTTACAAACAAAATTCCGCACTCGCAAGACCTAAATACACCTAGAATTATTCGAAGTTGCCTTCGCCCTAGACGTGAAAGATTTTAATTTCTGAGGGTTTGGTCCCAAATCTCTCTTCTAATTATTTAATTTAATTGTTGTTTATTATTTTCTTTGAAGTTACTAACGTGTGTATTTTGTTATTAGAAAGAGGTACGAGGCGTCCAAGTAAGTGCTTTAATGGTTTTTATTGATATTATGATGTAGAAAACATGCTTAGGTTGTTATTATGATTCCTAGCGTCATGTTAGGGTGTTTTGATCTTCCTAGTATCATGTCTAGGCAAACTTTAATATCATGTATGATTAAAAGTATGATGCCTTTTATGTTCTTCCTAATATTTATAAGGAAAAATGTAATCTAATAATCCCACCTTTAGTCAGTATTCCATAAACAATCCCACCTTTTGAAATTCAAGAAACAATCCCACCTTTGACATAAATCTTCCACTAACAGTCCCTAACTGGTTGGATTATTTTAGTAACCGGTTTTCTTAGGTTATAAGACACGTGTCAAATTTTAATAGGTTTATTTTAATATTTAATAATAATTTAAAAAACAAAACTAATTAAAAAAGAAAAAAAAAAAACAAAAACCCCAGCCTTAGCCACGCCACCATATCTCGTCCCCATCCCAGCCACCGTATCCCCTCCCCATCTCCGCTCTTACTTTCTCCGAAAATCCAACCCCTACTGTAGCCGCCTTGCTTTCCCAAAAACCGCAGCCCATATCTCGTTCTTATTCTTCGCACGCTACTACTCCAGCCCTATAACCCTTCTTTCTCCTTGTCTTTCTCTCTTCTCTTGGGTACGTTTCTCTCTCCTCTAAATTCATCAATTTTCCTTTCAATTCGATTTTTTCAGATGATTGAAATCATAATTTGCTTTTAATTTCAAACCGAAAATCGAATTGAGAGGCAATTAGGGCTGTCGGGGTTGAGTATTTAGGGCTGGGGGTTGAGTTTTCAAGATGGGTGGTATTTTTCGGGCCTGTGGGTAGAATTTTCGGGGATAGGGTAGAGTATTTTGGGGCTGAGGGTTCAGTTTCAGGGCTGAGTGGGGTTTTTTGGGCTATGGGTGGGGTTTTTGGGGCTGTGGTTGGGTTTTGGGGGTGGTTATAGAATATTCCGGCGTGGCTTGGTAGTGGGCTGGTGGCTTGAAAAGGATGTTTTTTTTTTAAAAAAAAAAAAAAAAATCAACCTGTTTAACAGGTTGTAGGTCAATGGGATCGTTAGTGGAAGATTTATGTCAAAGGTGGGATTGTTTCTGGAATTTCAAAGGGTGGGATTGTTTATGGAATACTGACTAAAGGTTGGATTATTAGATTACATTTTTCCTATTTATAATTTTTAGTATCATGTTAGGGTTAAAGCTTTGACTTTTATTGCTTAGTGACATGCTAGGGTTTGTTATTAATCTTGTTAGTATCATGCCTAGGATCTTGCTATTATTATGCTTTAACATGAATATTATTATTATTATTATTATTATTATTATTATTATGATTTATTTATTTTTATGATTATTATTATGTTGCTTGATGATATATTTATTGATTATTTATTGCTTGATCAAGCCTTTTATGCATGTTTAAAGGGAATTTGTACTTGTGATCATGCTTAATAAGATAATTAATAATCTTGTTTAGGGTTAATTTGATTATAATTCAAGTGATCGCCAATAATAGTTTTATTTGTGCATTAACATTCAACCAACATAGATTAAACAGGTTTAGGTAATCCTAATGATTGCATGTTAGTCAGAAAGCGCACATGAATACGATCAGAATAAAGTAGAGGCCTATTATTAGGGCAGGTTCAATCTCTTTTAGGTTGGATTTGTACCTTCATCCCCGAACTACCAGTCATGGTTTAAGACCTATTGGAGTTGAAAATATCCTGGATCGTTAAGGGGTGTAACCTTCACCCTATGAACGGTTTACAAGTTCCTAAAACTTGTTGGCGACTCTTTTGCTCTATCTTCCTTCCCTTTGGACGCCACCGTACTTTAGTGTATAATCACAATGGGGTTCAATTTTGGGATAATGCTTGAAATATTCTATGTTAGTGATGGGGTTGATCCTGATTGGCTTGTTATTGTGAAGACCCATCCAAGGCATCACTATAATGTTCTAGAAAAGGAAGTGATTGAAAGTGATGAGGATGCATTATAACAACTACAACCAAAGATCGTTGAAGGCCCTTATGTCTTAAGCACAATTAATTTAGAGGAGACTCATGATCCACCTGTTGAAATAAGAGATGATGTTGGTGAAATCGTCATAGATGCCACTGAGGAAAATCAACCCAAAGATTTCAGTTCTGAAGAAAATGAACAGTTTGATAATGACGATTTACTAGAGGATGATGAGGATGATAGTGAGAGTAACCAAGAGAGTGATAATGATGATGATATTGATCTTGCTTGAGTCAAATTTTACTATTTTTTTTAGTTATGAATTGCTTGTATTCACACTTATATCCTAGGCGTTTTGAACTATTTCTTTAATTACGTTTGCTTTTATCTTACACTTTATATTTGTGCTTAATCATTTTTTGTAGAATAATTATATGTGAAATGCCTTTATTATTGTGAATAATTATTGATAATAGGCCTTATTAGACTAACAAAGTATCTGACATGACATGTACAGTAGTTAGGAGGTCTGGACCACCCATGCATTAGGTTTTATAAGGCAATTAATGTGCAATATAATTCTGCAACTCGTGTTTGTTTTGTAACTGTAAATTTTATGATCAATGTAAAAGTAGATGAATGAGTATGAAAGAAAGAGGCTTCTAACAATTACAGCCAACAAACAAAGATTTGAGTCGTTGGGCGTAAACGAATTGCTTCCTCTATGATGAGTTTGGTTTAAAGTACAAAAAAGAAGAAAAGAAAAGAAAAAAGCAGTGCTGGCAGGGGAGATGATGATTATATTCCCAATGATGATGAGCTTGAGGTTCAGGAACACGAGAATGAACCTCAAATAAGATTTACAAGAAGGGTATTATTTCAACTAAGAATGATTCACTTTGCTTCCCATAAATCGTAATAATTTATGATATTTTATAAATTTATATCAGATTTACAAGAAGGAAACATAAAAGGGAATTTCATTTTACCAAAGTCATTGGCGAAGTTTCTAAAGATGAACAAAAAAGCACAAGAAGCAATTGCCATGGTCAAAGAACAAAAAGGTGTCTCTACTCTACTTGATTCTTGAATTTAGTTGTTTCTATTGTCATTAATATTGTTAGTGCTGCAAGTTTATCTAGAATTTCTTAAAGATGTATAAAAGTATAATGTGAAAATTTTTATCATGGCTATGGCCGGAATATATAATGTGAACTGTGAAGCAAATAAAGGATGGTAGATATTGTATTGTATAAATATAGGATTTGATTGTTTGGCAAATAACCTTTCTACTTTTGGACTGAAATCTGAATTTGGAAAACTTCATTGTACTTATCTTAGTGATAGAATTTGGAGCTTACACACACCTTCCCCCCTCCTGCCTACACACACCTTCCCACTAATTGCCTACACACACTTGTCCCCCTCCTGCCTACACACACCTGCCCCCCTCATGCCTGTACATACCTCCCTGCACGCACTTACCTCCCTCCTGTCTGCACACACCTCTCTGCACACATATTCCACAAACATTCCCCACTCTTGCTTGCACACACCTCCCTACACACTTGCCCCAATCTTACCTGCACACACCTTTATGCATATCTGCCCCACTATTTCTTGCACACCTCCCTACACACATATTCCACAGACATTCCCTACTCTTGCCTGCACACACCTCCCTACACACTTGCCCCAATCCTACCTACACACGCCTCTCTACACACCTGCCCCACTCTTTCCTTCACACACCTCCCAGCACTCCTGTCCCACTATTTGTCTTTTACTAGGAAAAGATTAAACATCAGAATATCAGATTGGATCTTGTTCCTTCTAGTGTTAGTCTGAATATTACGGTGTTAGTTGGCTTGGGCTACTTGGGTCCATTGCATATTCACTACTTTATGCATATACAGTGATTCAAATCTATTTTACTTGTTTTTTTTCCTTATACATGTAAATAGAAAATGAAGAAGGAGAGACAAGGGATGATGATAACAACGCAACACAATATTATGATGAGGATTGGTCAATATCTTGAACGTGAAAATGAATCTTCAGATAGTGAACCACTCATCAACAACGAACTCATGAATATAACAGAGGAGGTGGAATTAAACATTTCAGCAGGTATGAATAATCCCTTCAAACATATGTAACATGCTTAATTTGGTTTTACTCATGTAAATTCTATACCTACTAAGCTTATGCATGATCTAGGTACAGCTATGAAAAAAAGAGGGACAGTATATTGCAGGAAGCTTACGCTATTACCTCCGGGTGGAAAACTAAATGTGGAGTTTGATGAGGATGGTGTTGCTATTGGTGATAATGCCTCATTATTTTCTTTCTTCTTGGGTCAACAAGTTCATAATAAATCTGTTTGTCCAATACAAGTCAAGGGTTGGAATAAGTATACCTCTGAAATATTATACCATTTGTGGGCTTGCATCCAGGTAATATCGTATCATAATACATGTCAATTCTTCTATTCTGACCCACTTCTAGAACTAAAAAACTGATGACTTGTGACAATCTCAACTAAATGATGGTGTATTATAAAAATGTAAAGCTGAAGCCCTCCAAATTCTCTTTTGAGCTCATAGAGCCTAAATAGATGATTTTTGAATACTCTGAGCAGATTACACACATGCCATTTGTTTTAATTCCTTTCTTCATTACTTCGTGCTATTACTATAATGTCTAATTAACATCATTTATCATTAGCATGAGCATCCTTCAAATCACATGTATTTAGAAGATCAATAAATGTAATATATATAGTTAAGCGTTAGAGGTATCAATGAACTTATTATTGTATATTTAAGGAGAAGTGGTCATTTGATGATCCTGAACAAAAGAGGGAGTGTGTCATGAAACATGCACAACGATTGTTTAGATATGCAAGGAGCAAATTGAAGAGAAAGTACTTTAGTAAGCTGACAACAAAAGAAGAACGTCTCAAAAATAAGCCAAGTCATCTAAAGTTGAATGGAAGTTCTTGCTCGACTATTGGAGTAATGATACAGTTATGGTAATATACTAATATATATATATATATATATATATATATATATATATATATATACATATATATATGTATATATATGTATATATATATGTATATATATGTATATATATATGTATATATATGTATATGTATATATATATATGTATATGTAATTTAAATATACATAAATTACATGTGTAAATGTTTAAATTCTTATGCCAATAGGAGAAGAGTAAAAAAGCAAGTGAAAGTAGGGCTCATCAAAAAATGCCTCACTACAATGGTACTAAAAGCTTCAGTCGCACTAGACAAGAAATTGTACGTAATTAAATGCATTACTTGTTATTGATACATGATAGAGTACTAGTTATATTGAGTATAATCTAACTTTAAAATCTCTGTGATGTAGAGGAAGAAGAATGGTGGGAAGTGTTCTCGAGTTGATCTACTACTTGCATCTCGTACGAGAAAGTCTGAGAAGGCTGTGAATGCAGTAACTTTAGAAAATAACACCCGTGCAGTAGTAAGTTATGATTGTTAATTATTAATTTCATATAACATTCTCTATCTTAGATTCTAACTTAGAAATTTTGTGTAATAATAGGATGAGATAAACAATAAAGGAGCAAAGGAATCAAGGTCTCAATGAGAAAACGGATGAGCAAATCATTCAAGATGTGCTTGGTAAAGATACACACGGGTATGATTAGATCTTTCTGAAGAGGTGAATGAAGTTAAAAAGAAAGCAAATCAAGCAATTGAAGAAGCAAAAAAAGATGATGAAAATGCTAGAATAGAAGCTGAACAAGCTAAAATAGAAGCTGAAAAAGCCAAAAAAGAAGCGGAAGTTGTTAGGAATGATGTAGACAAAAAAATTGCAGAGAACAATGAAGTTTGGGAGAAAAAATTTAGTCAACTTTTAGATTTTTTTGAAGCAAGAGGTTCTTTGAATAATGATGATTTAGGAAGTGAAGGTGCATCAAAAGTGAAGTAAGTACATCTCGACCTTTCTGAATTACCGTTTCTTTATCTGAATTCACATTTGGACAACTATAGCTTTTTGTTTTACTTTAATTTGAGAGTTTTCTTGCTTTAATTTACTTAGACAATAATATGTTGTGTAGCCTTGATCAATTTATTCCTAATGATCTGACTTTTAAGAAACATCATATCATACCCTTTTTCATGTGCTAAACACTAGCAAAAATCTCTTAGGACTGATTATATATCCTTAATTGACCAAAAGAACAACTCAGTTTTCTAGAGAAAAAAGAGTTAGGTCTGATGTCTGCAGCTTCTCCTGAGCCATGGTTGGGCGCCCCAACTACTATCTACCTTTATGCCTTATGCTTTTATTTAAATTACTTATGCTGTTTTATTTTTATTGCTTGCGGTAGTAGCACCTTCCATGTTTTGCAATTTTCAATTTTTTCAGCGACCATGGAGGCCTTATTTGATCACAAACATTGATTTTCCTAGATGCTATAATCATCTAGTAGTACTATAGTTTCCTTTGCTTGTTAAAAAAAAATAAAAAAATTTATAGCTAATTCTTTTTGTTTTTCATTATAGGTAAAAAGAAGATCGCGAAGATATACTACATTTATCAAATTACATATGATGTAATATTTTTGTTTTTTTATAGTAGAAGGATTAGAAGGTTGCATGACTTTTTTTTTTCCTGTTTTCGTGCATGTATGTGAATAGTGATGAATAATACTACTTTCAAATATTTTAGTTTGTATTGATATTAAACATCAATTTGAAATTCTATTTCTCCTAATTTATTATGTGTAAGAAAATTTATATATTGGTGTAAAAAAACCAAATGTGCCTTATTTGACTGAAAAATGTCATTTTAAATTTTTAAGCCACGAACCAACGACAAAGATCATTGATAAGATAAATTTGGTAGACACGATAAAAACTCGTGACAAACAATTTTAGTTACAGTAGTATTTGTGGCAGTGGATATTATGTGCCACGGTAGTATTTGTGGCAAACAACCATGTTAGCAACGGTAATATTTGTGACTACTAAGTATATTAGCCACAGTATAATTTGTGGCAAATTAGTTGGTAGCCTCGTTAGTATTTGTGGAAAAGAATTTGTTTGCCACGTGAATAACCATGGCATAAAATTCAAAATTTGCCTCGACATCCTTTTTCCCGTGGAAAATTTCTTTCCACGGCCTCTTGTGCCTCGGGAGTAAATTTTGGAATTACCGTGGCTAAACTTCATAGCCACGGGAATTTCAAACTTGTGCCACACTTTTTCCCGTGGCAGAAAGGTTAATTTGTTGTAATGGACTGTGATTAAGAGGTTTTGACGAAGTTTCTTCTTCACTTGATCTCCCTGATGCTCTTGTCTTGCTGGCATAATATAGCAGCCACATTGGCAGCGTCATGGCTGGTGGCTTGGCAAAAGGTTGGGTGTTGCAAGTACCTATGTGCTGTTGCTTTTATTAAAAATTGAAGTTCTGTTTTTGGTCTTGTTTGATGTTGTTGTTGTTATTGTTTGATGTTGTTGCTGCACGCATTGAGGTGTTGTTGCAAACTCGCTACTGCCTTACTTTATTTACTGAGATGCTGCCCCAATTATCTTCATGGATGTGTTTATGTCCTATCTTGAGTGTGTGTGTATGTGTGTGTGTGTATGTGTGTGTGTGTGTTCGTTGTTGTGATTGTGTCCTATCTATTGTTACTTAGACTTAAATCAAGAAAAGAAATCATTTTTGTGAGCTTATAAAACTACTAGGATTCTACTTTGACAAAGCTAAGCTCACCTATGGCCCAACCTCACTTGCCTGTGGGTAGTCCCATCTTGTTATATACTTTGACGGAAATCAATAAAAGAAATACTATTTGTGTACTAATAACTTACCTATAGGACTCTAGGACTCAAGTTTAATAAATCTAAGCTTACATTTTTTTCCAAGGAGGTCAGCAATTGCTTCAAAAACTACAGAGAATGATATGCACAAGCTTGTATGGAGATATGTTTATATATTTAAGAACTTTTTCATACTTATTTATAGGTGAAAGAGCCATTTTATGTGCTAGGTTTTTGTATACATATTTATCCTTTTTTTTTGGTAAAGTTTTGTCCATGTTTGAATATCTTATTAATATAAGAGAGAAATAATTTAATTATAGAAATTATACTCTGAAATTATGAGTTAGCAAAAGATGAACTTCAGTTAAAATCGACTCTCTTTAACTGAATTGTAATATATTTTTCTTCAACTAAATTGTAGCATAAAATTACGAGTTAGTAATTTGTTGTCTTATTTGTACCCTCTAGCTTTTTGCTCACTTTGCAAAAAAAAAAAAAAAAAAAAAAAAAAAAAAAAAAAAAAAAAATCACTTAATTAATAAAGTTATAGAATCCTGATGATTGTACGGAATATTGTCTTTTAAAATAATTCCATGAGCTTTATTGTATCTTACAAAGAGATTATGTACCACTCACAGGAGCTGCAACATTCTTTAAAGTTCCATGTAGATAGAAACCTGATTTAGTGTTCAAAATATACTTAAAAACTAGCAGTTGTGAAAAGTCTTGTTGCACGAGCCTAAAACTCTAAAAGTGGAGCCCTGATCAAGCTGTTATTTTATGTGGGGGTAATTATTATTCAAGTTATTATGTAACAGGATCCTGTCATTATGAAATAAACACAGAACTGCAAATCCATATTCATAGCTATGAGAGTTACATAACAATATATCATTACTTGCTGAAGACAGATTTCGACCTTGCTATTGTTGCTGCGCAATGTTGTTGCTATTGTTTTTGATTCCCGATGATGTTGTCAGTATTCCTAGGATAACAATGATTGATTGGACACAACAATCTTCTTCTTAAAGCGCTTCTTGGACAATTTTCTCAGATTGTAGGTGCAGTTTGTCAAGGGAATGCATCTCCGGGTCTTCTAAACAAAGCATCTGAATTCTTAGGAAAGGCAAAACATCAGGTAACAAAGTCACATTTTTCTTTATAACTGAAATCAGAGCTGAAATCTAGAACTGAATTAAGATCTGAAGTTCATAACTGAATCCAAAACTGTATTCAAAACTGAATCTAGAATTGAACTCAGAACTGAATTCAGACCTGATCTTTTGGAAGTTTGAATTCAGAACAAAATTCAGAACTGAATCCAGAACTGAATTCAGAACTGAATCCATTTATACTGCTTGTCTGCCCTGCTCCCCTGCTGCTTGCTGTCCTGCTCCCCTGCTCCCCTGCTGCTTGTTGTCCTGCTCCCCTGCCTAAGCTGAATGCCTGAGATGTCTACGCCTTATCTTCCATCTATTGCTGCTATATCATGCTGCTATATTTGAGCCTAAAACCATGATATAAAGCATGATGGAATGGAATATTATTTTATCTATAGTTCTATACTGATGAATGTGTGGGATTTCTTTTCTAAGGTTGAGCAAAGATTGAGGCTGCTTTAGATATTGTGAGCCGCTCTGATAACTTTCATAGAATAGATCAGCAATATAATGAGATTTGGGGATTCATTTACTACATAAGAAATAGCTCTTGAGTTTTTAAGGGAGAATGAATACTTTACCTAAAGAACCTGAATCCAACAGAATGGTTTTATCCTGTTTTTTCTCAACACTTACTAGCTAACATGTCAACTTCCAATATGTTTCCCTTTGTTTAGCTAACATGTCAGCTTCCAATATGTCAGCTAACTTGTCTTCAGGGGGAAATCATTGATTTTTTAAAAATAAAACGCACATATGGTTTTCAATTAATGATTGATTATACTGTTATGATATGAATGATTAGCATTTTCAAGTCCTATAAGGTCATCTTTGTGCACATTTTATTTGATAGTATCTTATCTCGATAGATGATTAGCATTCTCTTCTTATATTTCTTCAGGCACTAGTATAATTACTAAGCAAAAATGTGAACTTCACTTAAAATGTTGAGTGCTTTTACTGTGTTCTGATAATAAGTGTTGAAAGCATAAGTAGCATGAGCACATACATTATCAGGCTCATAGCAAGGCTCACCTACAATAAAGGGGAATAATCCTCTTGTCAACACCATCTCTTGCAGTACAATAAGTCTGGTTTGTTGTATTATTAGACAAAACAGACCCATACTGATATAAACTGGCTTCCCATTTGCATTGAATAATCCCCAATTCTTTTGTGAGGTGGCCCCATTCTTTTGCATCCCCCTTAGACTGCCAGCCTGATGTTTGGGTAATGCTTGTGTGTGTGTGTGCTTGTGTGTGTGTGTGTTGTTATAAGACTGCCAACCTGTCGTTTATAAGATTCATGTTGTAAGTGTTGGCATTCTCAAAGACGTTTGTGCAATGCTTGTGTGTGAAATTCAAAAATTCTTGTGAGTGTGTGTGAAATTTAGAGCTTGTGTGTGTGTGTGTGTGTGTGTGTGTGTGTGTGTGTATAAGCCTATATTGTGTAATGTACTAATTTATACTTTGTATTTTTTTTTGAAGATTGGAAAAGGCAATGTAGGTGCAACAAGAGAATAGGCCGGGACACTTGAGCATGAAAACAAGCGACTAAATCGTCTATAACACCGTCATCTATCTATTTTGGTTTTTAGTCTTATTTATATTAGTGATGTATTTATTTAGGGATTGGACAAGCTACTATAATATGCGACTTTTTTTATTATTATTTTTATTAATTGTGTTGATGTTTTCTTTTATAAATTTTGTAATTAACTACGCACTCTTATTATTGTTGATTAATTTTTTTTTTATTTGATCTAGTTATATAGAATACTTGTTTATTTTAATTTTAATGTCATTAATTTAATTTATGATAAATTTAAATAACTATAATGTATATATGATGGTAATATTTTAATAAAAGGAAAAAAAAAAGCTTAAAAAAATTCTAGACGCTTTTAATGTCTACATATTTGCACATTTTCAAATTTCAAAGAGTTTCCCACCATAACATAGGCTGACACGAATAAATGCAAGACAACAAAAAGCGTCGCTAA